GTTTGGTTGACCTAATATTTTCTGGCAATAAAACCCTGCCTGTCCTTAGTCATTCTTTGACTATCATTTATATCCTCACTTGTCTTCATCCTTCTGATCTTAAGTGCCCTAAACAGAACACTCTATTATATCATGTGGTGATCACTGTCTTTTTCTCTGAGAACACAGCTCTGGAATAATATATTTTATCGCTTTTCTGGCACAGTGTTCATAGGCTTCTTAAAAAATAAAAAGCAAGTTAGTGAGTCTAGGATAGAATGTTTAAGTTGTGACTTACTGAATTTCTGCACAATCTTGTACAGAAATTCCCTCCCCTCACCATTTGCTTTAATTAAGAGGGGTGGCATCCACAGATCTGGAAATGTCCAAATGTCAAGGAATCTTAGAGATGACCTCAGTTAAGACAAATACCTTCTCAGACTAGGGAATTACATTATCAAGATTTAGCTTCAAAGAAAAAACAGTGAAATGCTTGTATTACTGCACTTGATCATTTTCAAATGGTAAATTAATGTCTGTGTAGAAAACGCTAAACTTAGCATATTTTAAAAGACTATTGTGAAGAGAAAATTAGTCTTTTCCCTTCATGTCAGAATCATGACACCAAGCACATGGCTATTGAGAATTATAGTGCAGAAAACATGGCAAGATGGAGACAAATTTTGACATTGTAAATTGTCCCCAAATAGTTCATGAAAAATAATTAGAAAAGACAGAAGACATTTGTATTTTTCTTTATAATAAATTCAATCTTGGGCCCTCCTTGGTGGTGCAATGATTTAGGATGCAGCACTGCAAGCTGGCAGCAGCAGCTTCATGTGAGTTTTATCCCCGCTCTGGAGGTGGCCCACATGGCACAGAAGACCACTCCTGACCGGCCCGCTGCTCCCTTCACCAGTGTACTTAGTCAATCTGCCTGTTCTGCTCCCCACTTTGTCTCTGGTGAAGCCTCTCAACCCCTGCACCTCTGACTTTTACCCCAGTTCTGTACACATAAATAAATCCTTAAAAAAATAAATTCAATCTCATACCAAATACTCTTAACATAAAGAAATGGATGAGACCAATACAATATGGCAACCTACATTTAATTCTAATCTGCTGTCACTATTCATTTATGTCCACATTTGTCATCTTTTTGTTAATGGCACCCCCATCAGTTATAAGGATTGCCACTTTCTATTAATGTACTCACTCACCATTTACCCACTTCATGTTAACATGATTATTCTAGTTTTCCCATATTTTTGCTGAATACTTGTATTTTTTTATTTAAAAAATATATTAATTACATCATCTTTCATTTTTGTACAATGTATGGTTTCCACATGAAATTCCCAGATTCACCCATGCACCATCACCATAGTTCCTTGTGCTCTTCCCACTCCTGTCCTGGTCCTTCTCCCTCCTCCCTCCCTACAGAATGTCTCTGATCTGTAGTTGCCTGATGATTTTGATTTTTACTTTATTATAGTTACTCCCCCCCCCGCCGTGAGTACTTGTATTTCAATGAAATTTCAACAAATCTTCCATAAAACATATTCTTCTATCTAGTAAGTTTGAGAAACAGAGGCTACTACCTCTTTTCTCATGACTTTTACAATAATAAATTTTAGAGAAGTTCTATGATAAAGAATTGTTTAATGCTGTTTCTTAAACTTATTTGCCCATAAAATGCTGTGCATGAGAGAGTGAGAGACTTAATACTAATAGGATCTCTGGAAAACCAGTGTCTAAAATGTTGTTATAGAACAAATAGCTTTTGCTTGCCGATTCCATTTTCTTCTTATTACAGTACTAAATTTGCAATCACAGTAAACCTGCAACCTCCAAAAAGTAAAATCTAGTTATTGATTTTTATATCCTCCAATGATTGTTTCTCTGGACTTTTCTGATAGTCTACACGGTCAACTGCATACACATTTTTTCAAATACCTTACTTGGATTTCATAATTCTTTATCATTGTTATCAAACAGCTATTTCAACTTTCTTATGCTCATGATGCTCTGGCATAGAGACCTGTAACTTCCAGAGCAAAATTTTCTTCATGTATCTCTTTCTAATCACACTTCTGAGTCTTGATCCCCTATCCAGAATGTATCAGGTACTATCTCTTCTCAATATCGATTGCATGTGTATTTCAATGCTCATGTTGATTCTTTTTGTTAACAAGATTGCCATTCCCCTTTTATACTGCTTATTTTTATTCATCTGAAGACTGACCTATCATTCACTGTATTAATCACATGTACGTCAAGTTGTTTAACCAGAATTTGGGAATTTTATGCATTTAGAACACCCTCAGCAAATAGGACACAGGCTTATAGAGAATAGGTACTGAATTAATCATAATTGTCTGACCAGTTACTTCAGGGAGCAGTACAAATTTGTATCTTCCATGAAGTTTTCCTATATTGAGGTCATATTAACCTTGCCCCTCCACTCCTTCCAAGCACTTATTGTCTCTACAATTTACCTGGGCTCATATTTGTAGACATGTTCTATATGTATATCAAGTTTCTTCTATCTCGTTTGTAAAATTTGAAAATGTGCAAATCTATGTTCCATGGATTTTTGTCTCCCAAATAGGCGAGGCCATAGTAGGAACTGGTTCATTAAAAGGATAAAAATGAAAATGGTCATACTACATGTGACTTTATTAACACTTATGATACAATATTACTATTCTAGTCTTTTATGCAGACAAAAAAATGACATAAAACCCAAGGTACACTTTGTTTTAACTATCCCAGCATATCAAGCGATAGAAACTATGTTACACGTGTATTTTACAAAGGGAAAATACATAGAAACTATGTTACACGTGTATTTTTACAAGGGAAAAATGACTAGTAACAGGTCAAATGAGAAGTTATATTTTGGATGTTATACAATGTAAAAATATAGATGCTTCAAAAGAAATTTTATAAAACAATTTGATATTTAACTGTTGAAAATGAATATGGTGTAAATGAATACTTATATAAAAATATTTTAAGCAAAATCTATGCTCTACTCATTTACTTGGCAGTTACAAAAATATATATTTTTCTGAAACTAATAAATTTGCTTAAGGCATTAGATATTCAAATTTAAATGTATCTTTCCTAAAGTGTTTTACCAATTTAGCTCTCTCATTTCACACTTTATATATACCTACACAGTATTAAAGTATGTCTACATTACAAATAAAGTCATTTCAAATAACAGACACAGGCAATCATTAACATGGAAGAGTCACTGTGAAGGTTTTCAAAGCAAACAAATCCAGCACGATCGAGGCCCATTCACTGTGTCTGTGTGAAGTGAATTCTCCAACATACTTGTTGAACGAATACATGAGTAAATGGCATTTATTACTGTTTGCCCAAAATTAACTACTCAAGCTTCCATTTATAGTATAAATAGCATTTTAAAAGTCAGTAATTTTTATTCTTAGTTACTTCTGATTAGCAGTCAGATAAATTGATGCCAGACTGAGTAGCAAACTAGTGTCAGTTATTAAAAGATGGTCTACCAGGTATGCCTCATGTATATTTAGAGAGCTCTGATGTCTACAAAACAGACATTCAATATAATGAATAACTCCATTTTTTATATCTTCATACAAACAGAAATGAGCCTACGTAATTTTCAGTACGTCTTGTTACAAAAATTTAGTAATTATGATTCTATAAAATAGGGGCATATATACATATATGTGCAATGCATATATACACATATTTTATCCATATATTTTCTTTAGTAAACCATACCATCTCTTCTCAGTGAGAGAAACAAGCTATCCTGAGTGAATAAGGTCCATCTGCCTATGCAGCAACAGGGACAGCAAACCAGCCATATCTCAGTCTTCTTTACACACACAGCTAGCCTTATGAATGTTGAGAACACCATAAAAAAGCAAAGTTTTGAAGTAGTAAAATTCTTCTCAAACCACAATTTAACTGTAATAACTATTATGGAATTGCAGCATCTAATTGATTGCGGTCACTGCATGTAAAAGAAATTCACCTCAACATATTTCAAGCCCAGAATCCTTTTAGAACTGTCCCTTCCCACTTCTGCTTCATGAACAGTGAAGCTTTCCTTGGGTTCTTCACAAACACCTCAAAAAATAGTGTAAAGAAAATTTTTTGATCTAAGTTCAGATCATCATAAACCATTTCAAAACCTTTTCAGACTTAGTCATACCTTATACTTAAGCTGGAAATATGATGATTCATTCTGCAAATTGGTTAAAATATACACGTTAATGAAATAACTACTCCAGACTTTGTGGGAGTAAGCTATAATTTAGTGTAATAGTTAATTTAAAATAAGTCTAAAAGTTAAACACAATTTCTCAAAACTAGAAAGCAATTTAGTCACATACTAAAGGTTAATTTCTATAGCAGTATCACAAGTGAAGTTCTAAAAATGATCTTTAAAGTAAAATGACTTAATCTTATATTTTTTCAAATATATAAGAGAATAAAAATGTGTCCTCTAGCATTAAATCATGTCATATAGGAAAATAGCCTATTGAATAATGAGCACTTTAATGTTTTAAATACAAATGCATTATTTTAAAATACACAGAGTAAGTATCAACCGAGTATGTCCAAGTCAACAAATGCTAACTTTATCTACCACATGTATGTGCCCAAAGGGCTAAAAATAGTTTTCTTGAATTAGTTATTATGTCCTTCAGTTTTTTTTTAATCTATTTTTGATTTTTATCATTAGTGCTTAGGTCAACTTTAGTTCATTCTGAATTTAACTGTCACAATACTTATATTAATAGTGTCAGCACCAGTATCACAATGCCATGGTGCTACCACACCATGAGAAATAAGTATAATTTTAAATTGAGCATTCTTGCCATAAGGGTAGTCTATGAATGTACAAGAATTTAAGTTGCTGACAGAATGCAATTTAAAGAGGAAGAATTTAAAAAGACAGTATGAGAATTCTAAGATTGTGATTTTTTTTTAACAAAAGAAAGATTAGACTCCAAATTCATCTTTTTTTTTTCAATGTAAGTAAAACAGAAATTCCTTTTTTTTCTTTCCTTCCCAAACAGTAGTGGAAATAAACAGATGTAAAATTCCACTCTTCTCAAATTGCTCATACTTAAATGTTTAATGTCTCACATGGAGGTACATTATAGTATGGATTGAAAAATTCATTCATGCGACATCTGTTTACTGTTCCCAATGTTTTAGAATAACTGTCAAAATTACATGATGTACATTTCCAGACTTCCAACAAATATCCAAAATTGTTTTCCTCAATAACAAACATACTTTTTCAGATTGCATTATCATTGGATTTCCTTGAAATGTATACCCAGAATTGTAAAATATCCAGGAAATTGTTATTTTAATAGTAAAATAATGACATATTTCCCTTCACTTTTATATTTTCAATATGTAATGTATTACGAAAAGGCAAAACAGACTATATAATACCAACAATACTTATAACTTGTAATATTATAACAATTTAAACAGAAATAAGAAGAAAAACAATGTGTTAAAAGAAAGACTTTCTGGCTTCAAAAACTGATTTTACCACTTGTCAGTCTTGTGTTCTTGGGTAAGCCATGAGGCCCTTCATGGCTTCAGTTCCTCAGTTGTAAACTGAGAATGGTGGAAAGAGCACCACCTTGAACTCATTATGAGGCTTAAATGAAGCAGTAACAACAGAAGATGATGAAATCTTGCATTGCCTGGTACATAGTTATTGTGGCTACAATTTATACTACAACAACAAAAAAAGGGCAGTGACTGATGATATGTAAATCATTCCTATATTATGAGCATTTAATAGATGCCAAGCAATCTGAAAGGTGGTACATGTGTGTTTAATCCTTAAAGTAATATAAAGCACATTTTATTATATAGAAAAGTAAATGCTTTAAAATATGCTAATTTATAAATATCACATTAGCAGATCATTTCCCTCATGACACACAGCAAAGTACAACTAGAATGTTCCTCTTAGCGCTTGTAATGAGGATTACTACTACCAGGATGGTAATTAGAAAATAGTAATGATGATATGAAAAGCATTTTCTAGTTCATCAATTTTGTTCACTCATCATATCTGCATTGAACACAAACACAGGATTTTCAGACAGGAAAATCACAATTTACTAACAGACGTGCAGAGGCACCTGCTGATACCATCATGAATCCCTGCTAGTTAGGTATATGCTTAATATGGATATTTATGTTAAGGGCAAAACGTTATTAAACTAAATGTGTTGAATTTTTTTTTTGAAAATTCTGATGTTGGTTTCTTTATTTTTAATTATGGTTATGGACTTATCACAAAAATGTGCTTTTCTGCTAAAATAACAATTATTATTACCTTGATCAGTATATAAACATCTTACAGATACATATGTAACAGTTTTGTTATTCAATGCACTAGTGAAAAAGGTTTTGAAAAAAGCTTGAAAATCATCATCAAATTTCATAAATTAAAATTTAATAGTAATTTGCATATATTTTAGTTATGAAAAGCATTTCGCATACTCAATTAGTCTAAATTCATGTAATTATCACAACCACAGTAAGGGCATTTAATTACTTAAAAATTGTGTATTAAAGTCAGTATTACCATATATAGTATGTTAACGCAATGTTATTTTATTGACACAGAAATAATAAACATATATGTGTAATTAAGAATGAAAAGAGGATACAGTCTGTGCTTCTATAAATTGCTAAGGTCCGTAATAGTCCTTTTAAAGACCAACAAATAAAGTTTTATCTTCATATTAGATAAATATACTATAATAGAAAACTGTTCAAGCATAATGTGTTCTTTTAAGGGTCTGGTATCTCAAATGAAAATTTTAACAAAAGTACAAATTTTAGGCATCTAAGTTAAATGTCATAACTCACCCTAGTCTTTTCCATACCTCCCCCTGTTCCTGCCTCTTCCCATCACTTCTCCTTCTGGTACACCTGGTGTGCATGGCACAAGGAGTCCTGCCCAGTTCAGAGACCAATGACAGCATTGACTTACTCTCACTGTCCATGAGAAGATAAGATACCTCAAAGCTGAAAGAAGGCCTTGCCGAGAGCCTCCACTACTGAGAACTCTGCCCTTAGAATAAAGAAAAAAGTGTGTTCTCACTTTCCATTCACAGACTACTCTCTGATACCAGTGGGAGGCTGAAAGTCTACAGCACCTAATCCATGTTGTCTGTAACATTTTTATTTGATGATCTGGAAATCATGACCATGTTTCTTCAGTGTCCCACTTCTTCAAGTGGAAATATCCATAAATACATGTTCTGATGTGGAGGAGAAGACAACACAATAAAATAATTTTAAAAAATGAGAGGAAGCAATATGGTTAATGTTTTTTATCTCTGATAATGTTTCCATAAATTTCAGGGATGAAATTTACCCTAAAAAGGAACATTTAATGTGAATTCATAGATCAATTTGTGTAGTTGAATTATTTAAATGCATTTACATTTCCAGCACAAATATCCATGCACAAACTGAAAATTAGTTATTTACATCATAGTGAGAGGTTTAGAGAAAAATTCATTTATCATGAGTTGAGAATGGTTAGCCGGCATGTTTGTCTTGTCCAGTTTTCAGAAGTTTCTGATTTCCTGGTTGCTTGGGGATTCTCTTCATTCTTCTCCAGCTGGGGGAGGTGGCTCACACAGCTTGTACAGCCTAGAAGAGTCACAAGAAAGTGTGACAGTGGACAGATTTATTGCCATTACCTGAGATGTACTTTCTTGGATAACCAAAAACTCTTGGCAATCATTTCACAACATAGAGGTTTGAGGATAATGTCTTTTTTGCTAAAATCACACAGAAAATAGCAAATTCCAATTTTTCTGTTTGGTTCTTTAGTAATCAGTTTGCTTGCACATCTAGATGGTGCAATGTTGCTTCTGTTCCAGTGTCACCCACCCCTGTAGTTACCTTGCTGGTAGAAAACTTATTCTCTGATTCTGAGGAAGTGTTATTGCAATTACCATCTTGTTGATCATGATTGTCTTGGTACATGACTTTCTGGCCAGTTTTAGAAATATGTTACCTTTTTTTTTTTTTTTTTTACTTTCCTCTTTGGAAGTTAGTTTTATTTCCCTGTTGAAGGCAGTTAGTTAGGGACAGGCTGATGCTACAGGTTCCTGAGGTTTGAATCCCAAAGACAAAATTAGCTGGGGTTTCATAAGGAATATCTGCTCAACTCTGTCCATTCCTTCCTTTCAGCTCTCAGTAGAACTGGGAGAAGGTACATGTGGGTGAAGGAGTCCACTTAAACTGGTGGAGATTGCCTGAGATGGTCCCCTTATCATGTACCCAGGTCTAGTACTTTGGGACCACCCAGTATTAAAGCAAACTCAGGAAACTGAACTAGGACTATGCAATTCCTAGTGCTTCCCATTATCCCAGTGGTTCAATCCTAAATCCAGAACCAACACAGTAGAATATAACAATTGTGGGGTCAACTGCACAGGGCAAACCTATCATTTAAGATAGGTTGACTAAAGCAACTGGATGGTGGACTCTTCCCATTGTCTTCAGTAGTGTCTTTGCCCATTGTGGTCCTACTTCAGAGTTTAGATGATAACCTAAAAAAGTGAAGACTTTTGCTCTTTTTCAAAAATATTCCTAACTGAGGGTAACTGTGGCCATTCTCTCCCTTTTGTAGATTAAGTTGAACATAGCTAAAATGAGGATTGACAAATTCAGCAAATTATAAATTTTTACCTCATATGAACATATAATCCTAAGTAATTCTAAGTCAAAGGGGAAAAATGAGAAAATTTATTAATAGAAACTAAGTCAACAAAAATGAACTTTTTTAGTCTGCAAACATATAGAAGTTATCATTGCCTTTGGAGGTTTGCAAAATGTATTTTGAATGAGGAAGGTGGTTAATGCTTTATGTCATGTTCACAGAGGAAAATGAATCCTTTCATAAGGACATCTCACATCAGAAAAGCTGATTTCATCCTTCCTAGGAAAAAAAAGCATTAAATTGAGTTGATGGACTTCAAAGCTTCTTGTGCAGCTAAGGGAGATAAGGTGTTGTTTCAAATTGTGTCCCAGTGCTAGAATAATAGCATGATTGAAAAGTTCGTTTCCCCTGTATTTTCTATCTTTCTATTTCCCAGGTAGTTCTGCCTAATGAATAAAAAGGAGCAGTGGCCTTACTCAGAATATACCACAGAGGCTGCGTGTAAATGTCTGAGAGATCTGAGGTGAGAATCACATTCCATTACCGTGCACTGCACGTTTCCACAAAATGTAACTGATGCCACAAGGTAGATGAGTTTTTGAAATGTCTGCCTTGCAAATTGGTGAAAAGGCTACTCCCTGTGATCACCTAATGAAATAATAGCTCTGGGAATGGCGAAGCCGGGTAGCATCAGCTTCTGTGAGGCTTCTTGGAAGTGACTCAGGGTTATTTGAGTTCAGACACATTTGTAATGGAAATTGTGGGGCATTGGGAATTTAGAACAGGCAGATGATGTTTGGAAGTAAAATATAATAGGTTAGAGTTGCACTGAAGAATTAGGGTTTTTGGCAGCTAAATTGTTAGATAGTCAGAGGCATTTTTCCCCCCAACATTTTGAGGCCCTTCTGGTGTCCTCATTCCACTCATGGACACTCGTGGTCCTAGGGGGCAAAGGTTTGTTCCTGGCTCCTCTTCTTCCTTTTCCTATATGTGTGCAGGCAGCTGTCTTAAAGCTGAAATTTCCAGCCCAAATCCAAATCTGCAGAGAGCAGAATTTTCCAACTTCAGTTGCAAAACCATGCCCTTTCCACATAGAAAAAAGCTGTGTCAAGATCATAAACAAAAGCTTCTTTTAAGGCTATATTTAGTTGTACTATGTTCCAGGGTGATTCTCCCCATCTTACAGATGAAAAAGCTGTTTCAGAGAAAAAAAACCTCACTAAATAAGGCCACCTAGCAGAAGCTGGGTCTCAAACTTCACACTTGAACCATTCGAGCATGTTATCTCCCAATGAAACAGTGAAAATGCGCTCTCATAGCACAATAGTTTCCAGACTTTGTGACGTAACAGAAAATAATAAGACCAGTTACATGTGGAATGTATTATCTTGTTCTTGATGAAGATATGTTTACTGCTTTGGAGAACCAAAGTATGAGAGTCAGAGGAGGAGCAACCTTGCTGGTTGGTTCACAAAATCATCTCCACATGGATGTCCAGGGGGATATTCCTATTCGTCTCAATATTACCAATGATTTATCATCTCTCTATATACTCTTTTACCTCATCTATGATCTCAGTGACTAGAACCATTTACTACACAAGCCAAAGATTTGGTGTTCATGCTAGAATCCATCTCTACTCTCTTTAATTCTAACCAGCATTTACACACTATTAATTCTGTTGTCTAAATATCTTTCTAATCTCTCCTCTCCTGTTCATTCTCAATAGTACAATAGTTTTTGGCAAGTTCCTGCATTCAGTCTTAGCTGACCTCAAACTATCCTCCTCATGTTAAGATAAATTCTCAAATTCAAATCTCACAAATAGGAAGATTTTTTTTAAATTACATTCTCCTATTTTTGTCTTCACATTAAGAGTATTTCCTACAAGCCTCTTACTGATTCAGACGCTGCCTACATCCTCAGCTTTGCTTTGCATCTTTCTTATATCACAGACAATCACTGGTAAAAGATCTGGGTAGTCGTCAGGATGTGATGTCTCCTTCAGGCACTGGTGTTACTGCATTCACTGTATAGAATGGCACGTCTGGTACCAGGCAGACAGGGAGCAATAATATGCTATTTTTGCCCTCCAAACTCAGGCTGAATTACATGTCCCTTCTTTGTGTTCTTATGACCATGCATACCTGTATCAGAGTTCTAATCACATGCTCTACACTATTCTCATGTTATTCAATTGCCATTCTACTATTCTTCACTGAAAGGATGGTTTTTACCCCTAGCTTTTTAACAAAGTATCTAACATCTACCTATAGACACATAGTAGAAATCCAATATATACTTGCTGAAATAACTGAAGGCCAATCATGAAAGGAAAACTATGACAGAAGGGTTGGGTATTTGAACCAAATATCTCAGGCAGAGATAGCAAACACAATCTCCCTGAATTTATTTCCAGAAACATTACCCCAAGTTGGCCTTTGGATGACCTGGACTTGAAAGCCAACATGTTTTCTTTTATATACTGTCTACTAGTGGGAAGGATCCCAGACTTTCTGTGGTCGTCAGCACACACTCTGAAGCCCGCATAGAGGGCTTCTCACATTTTAACTTTCTTGTAGTTATGTTTTGCTCATTTCATCTTTTTAAATGAAAACTCGAGGAGGGCCCAAACCTATTTCTTTTTAAAATTTATATTCTCCATGGGAGATGTATTACCTGAATACATCCTCAGCTGTCAGGGCATAAAATATGGTATACATACCATCCATATGGTATACAGACAAAATATGTGCTCTAAGAAAAAAGGCCTGTGATTGCATTTCTTATATCATCAATAAATATTGGTAGAATGAATGAAAAAAATAAATAAAATTTTAAAATTATTTTAGATTCTCATAAAAGGGTTATTATTCCCTTGCAAACACTTCAAATCTAGACCTGACACATTTTATTGTTTCACTTGAAGTGTTTCAAAACATAACCTGATAAAGAAAAAGTGAGTTCATCAGTTTCTTTCCTTATGTTCAGCTTGTGTATTAGTTTATTGATCAGGATGCTAAAAATCTTATCCTAAGACTACTTTTTATTAGTGTTTATAAACTCTTGCTAAGAAGACCTTGTTGAGCCATTATCTTGCTTTCCTGTTGAAATTTTAACACTTCACTGGGTCTATTATTCAAACATATCTGCTCAAGGTTCTGGAAAGAGTATGTCTATGTGAGAAGATTCTTTAGCAACAAAAAGTCTTAGGTTCTAATCTAATGAACTATGAGTGATAATATTACCAAAACTTGAGAATTAAATTGCATGAGGAGTTAACATTAAAAATAATTACGGCCCTCCCTGGTGGCGCAGCGGGTTAAAGCACAGCACTGAGAATCTAAAGCTGCTTCCGCATGAGTTTGATTCCCGCCTGCCCCGGAGGTGACCACATGGCGTGGCAGACCTCTCCTGACCCGCCCGCTGCTCCCCTCAACAGTGTACTTCGTCGATCTGCCTGTTCTGCTCCCCACTCTGTCTCTGGTGAAGCCTCTCGCCTGTACCCCAGTTCTGTATGCACAAATAAATAAATCTTAAAAAAAAAAAAAACAAAAATAAAAAAAATAATTACAATTAGAATATGAGTGATCCATTAATTTTCAGGGGAAAAATACGTCTTCCCTTTTGAAATAACTTTCACTGCCCATGTAGTTTTTCAGAATGAAATATAACTTCATAAACACTGCAGTCATCATTCTTACTCTGGTAAATTCTTTGTAAGTAGAAACAAATACAGATTGTCTGATCTGTGACTACTTGGATAAGCCCACTTTTTGTGAAGATGCAAATATACAGAAATGTAATCAAATGTAAAATGAGATAGATGACAGCTTAGGCTAACATCATCAGGAAAATAAACCAACATTTGTTCGATGGCTATTCCATGCTCAGATATTTTAAAGCTGGATTAGTGTTCAGTTCTTATGGACTGTTAATACTGGGTATGATGACAGACAGAAAGCATGCTCAATCATTTCTTCATTCTCACATTCTTGAAATCAATTCAGATATTTGATGTCTCCTATGTAGGTTGTATGATGTGTTATGAATAAAATCCAAAGATTCCCTTTGTCCAAAGAATTTACATTTAGACTGGGCAAAAAAAACATGTAACAACAACACATTGCAAGTCAATATAAAGCATGAGATACAAGGGAACACAGAGAGCAAGGAAACTGAAAACAGGGCTCAAGGAGAAACTGAAATCTGAATTGGATTATAAAAAAGTTTTCCATTGAGAGAAAAAAGACAATGATTTCAAAGTGGTAGTCACAGATTTCTAAGTAAAAGACGCATTTGGTAGCTTGGTATAGTTGGATTCCATGTTTTAATAGTACTTGTGTATAGTTTTGGTTTTGAATTCATGCTAGAACTTGCAAAACAAAATAAGGCAAGAAACTGAAATTCCATTTAATCCTTAAGCATTTGCAGCTAATCACATTTAGCCAGGTATTTTACAAGGCCAGTTTCCATGATTACAATCAGGTCTACACTGAAAACAGCCTTGAGTGAGTTTCCTGGAAAATGAAGGCAAGCCTTTTGGGAAAAAGAGACTTAACGAATTGCTTACCTTGGGGCGGATTGTGGGGTTCGATCTCTGACTCCCAAATTCTTTGCTGTGTTCTGAACTCTTGCACCCTAAAAAAGTCAGGAAATCATTTTTAGCTCTATGAAGTAACTAAGTTACATACCATTACCAATTAAGTATAGGTACTTATTCAAACAATGTATTTAATATCAAAAGATACTGGGTGAGGAGGAAGAGAGAGAAATCATAGGAGTGTTTTCAAAATTAAAGCTTTTAATAATTAAAAAGTTTTGATATACTATTTCAAAGGATTGACATCTACTTCCTGTCATCTAAATCATTCAAAGTAAGTTTAAATAACAGATTACTGTTCATTATCTTTATTTCTAGAAGCGATTCTTAAGACAGCAAAAATACTAAATACCCGCTGTTTACATAATTTAAAAAAAAAGATTTATTTATGCATACAGAATTGGGGTACAGGCCAGAGGTGCAGGGGTGATAAGAGTATTCACCAGAGTAAGAGTGGGAAGCAGAACAGGCCGACTGACAAAGTACACTGCTGAGGGGAGCAGTGGGCCGTCAGGAAAGGTCTGCCTGCCTTGTGGATCACCTCCAGAGTAGGCGGGGATCGAACTCAAGCGGAAGTGGCTTTAGCTTCTTAGTGTTGTGCTTTAACCCAATGCACCACCAGAGAGGGCCCCCATAATTTCATGCAACAGAAGTCACAGTCTTATCACTGTGTCTGTTTTGTTCTTAACAGAATAATTAACTAGTTTATATTTCATAATATTTACTGAGAAGTTGTTTTCCTAGAACAACGTCTGCAAAAGTTCTGTACAAGCATGTGTATGTGGATCTTTAAAATGTAAGAATTCTATCTGAAAGTTTGTAACTACAAAGATAATTTACTCTAGCAATGAAAAAGTCTTTACAATCTGTTAAATGTGGCTTCAGAAAATAATCACCAAAAAATTATAAGGGCATATTCTTGCCTTTATCTTTGTTTCTAATAATCAGCCAATTAAAACAATAGCTCTGTGAAAATATATGCACAAAATCTAGACATGAAAACTACACTGTAATTAGAAATGAGAACATTTAATCATCCTGAAAAACTCCTTTGCCTAAAAAGAAACTAAAAACTTAGAAAGTATTATTAATTACTTAGAGAATATTCTAACCACTCAATTTAGAAGAATGTGGAGTATAAATGGCTGCAAGTCAAAAGAGAAAATTGAGATCTTTCATTCACACTTGTGTTCAAACCATTCACATCCCACATAAACGTTAACTTGCAGATTGTATCCTATTTATTAATCCCACTGTCTGAACTCTTGATACTAGAAAGAGTATCAGCAACAGAAAGAATGTTCCACAATTAACTTCTGTGCATCAGTCTATTCCAACTTGTCTAAATTGAGGACCCTCTATGATTTTTCACAAATAAGTCAGAAACCAATTCTCTGTCTTTTGGAATCCCATCAAAAGGTCATAACTTGGGTCAGATAAACAAATACAAAAGAAAGAAGCAACATATTCTAAATGGTGTCACTTAAAATTACCCACTTATTGGATAACTTTAAAAATTATTAATACTAATCTCTTAGTCTGCCACAAACCATAATTTTCAGATGAATCCTCCAAGTCTTACTGCAAATTTACTTGAGTTTCACTCTTAATAGTAAGTAAGAGTGAAATAGAAAGTTTAGTCTCCTTCTGTGTGTTTTAGCATGCAAATCCCAATCCTGATAACTACAAGTTTGCCTTCATCTACTTTTTAAAACTGAATTTGCATGCCAACACACACATACAAATCATCCCAGCTGGCATTTGCATCTGTATTTGCCCTTTTCCAAATGAACCATAGTATGTCATATGCCTCTCATGGAGCTAACCTTTACTTAGCAAATCCCTACTGTACCTCAAGAGATCGTGATTTTCAATTTTCAGCTCTGCGTTCTCAATGCAAAGCACTAATGCTTGCCACATTCTTTGCACCTCGTTTTTGCAGACCCAGGATGGCACTGGCCTCCATCTTATGACTGTCACTCTGTTTGGCTTGTTCAACCGTGCACAGTGTAGCCATGGGTACAAACCCCCATGAATTTGTTTGCCTGAGATTTCTGCACTAAGTCTTCAATAAAAAAGGCAGTCATAATTGCAAAACCATGTCTTAAAAATCAAGTCACTCAGGGCCCTCCTTGGTAGCACAATGGGTTAAAATATAGAACTATGAAACTATCCTGCAGCCACTGCAGCAAGAGTTTGATTCCCATCCAGGGAACTGACCCACATCATAGAGCAAGCCTCTCCTGTCCTGCCCATTGTTTCCGTCAGCAGTGAATTTCAGTCAATCCACCTGTTCTGTCCCCCACTCTATCTCTAGTGAATCCACTCAACTCCCCACACATACTTCTGGCCTGTACCCCAGTTCTTATATGCATAAATAAATAAATCTTCTTAGAAAATTAAGTCACTCACTATCATTGGGATATTTAAAATAAGTCTGTAAGTAGAGAAATTTGTCAAATCAATTGTCTGCGGTAGTCCTTGGAAAAGGTGACAGAATAATGTATGAAATTAATGCCTTACAATTTCCTTTCCATCAAATTCTACCTTTTCAACCAAGTTAAGCATATTTTCTAAATAATCACTAAGTTGGATATTAGTGAGTCTTTTGTTACCTTTTGAAAGAATTTCAGGAGTTAAAAATCAAATTACCAAAATGATACCTGCACCCCCATCTTATTGCTGTTTTATTTACAAATGGAAAAACATGGAAGCAGCTCAAATGCCCAAAAGTAGATGACTGGATTAAAAAGATGTGGTACATATATATAATGGAATATTACTCAGCAACCAAAAAGAGAAACACATGTCTTTTGCAGCAACTTGGATGGAGCTGGAAAAGATCATGCTTAGTTAGATAAGCCAGAAAGTGAAAGAAAAATACCAGATGGTTTCACTCATAGCAGGAGTATAATGGACCAGGCGAGAAAATAACAAGAATAATGAACAGCCATATACCAGAGACATTCTGTGGGGGTGGAGTGGGGAATGGGATAAAAAACAGGGGGTGGGGGGAGGGAAGTGCACGGGATTATGGTGATGGTACACGGGTGACTTGGTGATGGGAAACCCACGGGGATTACAATTGAGAAAAAATGTACAAAAAGATGTAAAAATAAACTGTTATTAAAAAAAATCAAATTACCACACTTAAAGTACTATTGGGCTATTGTATGTAGGAAGTTAATTCTCTTTTTGAAGTACATTCTTCCTTATAAATATTTCTGACCTAAGACAGAAATTTGCTTTATATTTGTTTTAAAGGAAAGTTTGATACATATACTTTCTGTTCAGAATAATGCACAAACATTCTAGCATGGCATATATGATTCCCTTTGAGGTCCTCAGAAACATCCTTCCCCCATCTGCTTCCCCAATCTACTCCCGTTATCCTTGCTAAATCACCTACAATTCACAGAAAATGCCTTGCATCCTTTGAGCTTATTAAAGAACCAAATCAGTTCTTTCCCATGTTGCCTGGCCAACATCCTATCTTCCTTCAGGTTATCCCAAACAACAATCTTTTTCCAGATGTGTAAGTTTCTTGAGGAATCCTCATAGAGATGATGTCTGCTCTTTTGCGGGGGCTATGTTCCCTGAAAATAAATGTTTCTTGTTCATAACATATCCTCTGAGCCCAGGAAAAGAGCCATCACACCCCAGACACCTGTGAGACATTTAATAAATAAATAAATGGAACTTCAAATTCAGGTTCAGTAAAACAACTCCCTGTAATATGCATGAGACATACCTGTTTTCGCATCACATCTGTAGCCTGCATGATGTAGCGAGGGGGCAGTCCATGGCTTCTGGCCAAAATGATGGCCTGCTCCAGTGTCACACTCAGGGTGCATCTGTGTGCAAAAGTAAGGGCAAGTCAAATCCCACAGTTTCTCCTAACACTCTTCAAGGCTGCTGAAGTTACTACTGAGGAACAGCAGTATATGCCACCCCAAAATTTGCCTTTTCAGAGAATTGCTCATTTTTTCATGGGTATCTCCCATGTATACATGAATTAAGAATTTAATCAACTTGTTATATCTTTTATTACAGGTTTTTCAGCTAAGAACTCAGACAAGCAGAGGGAATATTACTTTTCCTCCTCTATCCTAATCTCAAACTAAATGGTTTTTACATTGCTTAAAATGTAAAAACTGTTGAAAATATACCAATGGGCTGTTTAAGCTTATCTTTTCCAGCTTCTTGCGGGTGGAATATTTAATTTTAATTGAGTATTATATATCAAGCTTTAAATGCACAAATGCTCCCAAAAGAAAAACAGACAAGGAAAAATGCAAAGTATCAAATGTAGATGCTGACTTTTCTTTATAAGTAAAACCTCCGAAGTTTAGACAATGAACCATTTATTTTTCACACAGAGTACCTCATTCAAAGTAGAATATAGGGTGAACCACTGGGGTCCCAAATTAAGCATTCAAGTTTAAAACAAATGTATAATGAATTGGGTTTATGAGCAAGCTTACCTATAGAAAATTAAATAAGCAGAATTGAAAAGTTATATTGTTAGACAATGTTCTTTGTTGATATTTCATACAGTTTGTAAGATATGGGCCTTGCTGGTGACCTAGGGAGCTCAGAACTGTCACCACTATGCTCTGAGCTTGAAAGCCAGTCAGGGAGATGACCCACATGGCACAGCAGACCTCTCTTGTTTTGCCCACTACTCCTCTTAGCAGTGTACTTCAGTCAGTCCACCTGTTCTGCTCCCCTATCTATCTGTGGTGAAACTTCTTAACCTCTGTACCTTTGGCCTACACCCAGTTCTTCTATGAAAAAAAAAAATAAAATAAAAAGGAAATTATTTCTAATATTCATCCATAATTATACATTGATAGTTAATACATTTATACTGATGCATACCAAATGTCTTAGAAAAAATAAATAGTAAATTACTATTATCATGATCATTAAAAAAAAGTTTTATTTCCTTGACCTACTCTATAAGACTTTATAAAAATTTCAAAATTAAGTTTTAATCAATTATATCAGAATAGGATCCCCAGAGCAGCCTTGAGGAAATCCAGAATTGTAATCAGAAGTGACTGGTGAATCTTCATCCCTTGCCTTCCCTTCTTCTTATGTTCATCCACATTGTTCTCTACAGTAGTTAGTACATCGCTTGTTGTTAGGGTTTTCAGGTGCTGTACTGTTTTCTGAATGTTTTTACCATTTGCATATATTTCTTATAAATGCACATTAATTGTACTAATAAGTGTAATTTTCTAAAATTTATATTAGTGGATTTTGTTTGATTTAATTTTTTTATTTCTTGGTATTTCAACTAGACTTCTCTCCATTTTTACATGCTTTCCTGTGGTTTCATATTTTATTCATCATTTTTTCTAGATATAACTAGTATTTTTCCCTACAAATGAAAGGCAATCCTACAAAGAGGTTGCTTATATGTAACATCTAAGTAATTATTCCTAGTTATGAGGCTGTATGAGAAGTTCACTATATTTGGTACATTTTGATACTGATAAATTAAGATAAAGAGCAAAAACAGATTTACAATATTATTGCTCTAATTTTAAAATGAACCTGACAAAGTACAAATGCATACACATAATTAACTGCTTTCTAAGGAGAAACATGTTAGGTTTCATTGACTGTTAAATGACTGGAAAAGCAACTTCCTCATTAACATTATAAACTCTTCAGTACACATTAAAAATATATATTCTTATGAGCTAACATTTTATAATTAGCTTAGAGTACTACTTATAATACACTTGTAAATATTAATGCATGAATCTAATAACTATGTATTTTAACTTTACCTGTACCTGAATGTTGTAGAACAGCACATGCCAACGAAAGCTACGAAGTGTAATTGACAGTTCATGTCTAAAAAAATCAATTTTTTACAAAGCTTTTAATAGCTTACTCAACAGACTATAACCTTTTTCTCCTTCTTAAGTTCTGCTCTATTCCAATTTTAAATCTTATTGATCCTAGCATTTTAATCAATAATGCACATTACACCAGCTAAATGAACCTACAGAAAAAATCTTTTATCTTTTTCTAATCACACTGAAATATGTCTATGCCTCCTGATAGACCATGTTTTGCCTCACTCTACTTAAAATTCTAATTGTGAATAATTTTTAACAGGCAGCCTACAATTTTTATCCATTTCCTTAATCCTCTTAAACTGATTTATTTTTCCCTATTTCAAGTTGTAGTAAACAGCAGTAGAGCAGCAAATTTTCTGTCAGACACTTTAAAAGATTTTATTATAATCTTCCAATCAGTCAAATCATGGCCAGTAACATGTTCTCTGACAGGGTACTTCAAAGTGTCACTTGTATAGAACCAATCACATGTGCAGCGCCAGGTAGAAAAATGTACCTTAAAAAAAGGCTATGCGGCCCTCCCTGGTGGCGCAGGGGGTTAAAGCACAGCACTAAGAAGCTTAAGCCTCTTCCACATGAGTTCCATCCCCGCCTGCCCCGGAGGTGACCACATGGCGCGGCAGACCTTTCCTGACCCGCCCGCTGCTCCCCTCAGCAGTGTACTTCGTGGATCTGCCTGTTCTGCTCCCCACTCTGTCTCTGGTGAATCCTCTCACCCTCCACATCTCTGGTCTGTACCCTAGTTCTGTATGAATAAATAAATCTTAAAAAAAAAAAAAAAAGGCTACGCATATTTTCTTTCACCAGCATATCAAAAAATGATGGCTTTCATTCTAAACACTGTATATATTGCAATTAGATCCCAAGGTTAATTTGAGGTTTTAAAAAAGTGAAACATTTTAATGGAGACAACCAGGTCAGAATGGGAAATCGCCTATATTTGATTCACAGTTGATATATCTAACAGAGGTAAAGTTTTACTATTGCAGCCTCACAGAATTCCATTCTCCTAAACTGAGTGTGAAACAAAGCCTAGCACTTAGCCCATAACTTTGCTGTCAATATATCATTATTTACCTCAGAGCTTTTTACTTTATCTCAACTCCCTCAAAAGTTAAGTGGAAAAATACAACATTTCAAGAAGTATTTTGTTTCTGGCATTCTCTGAAAGACTCTAGGCCCAGAATCCTCAGAGAAAATGAATACTGCTGCATAAATAAATACACAGAGTAAGGTTTTACAAAAGATCATTTGATTTTTATGGTTACTTCTTTTATTACCAGTGACACTAATCTGTTAACCTGGGGTGAGAGAATGAAAGGGATAGAGCAAAGCAAATCCCATTTAATTTGAGGTCTTTTGACCTACCATTCACCTTTCTCGCACGGTTTTCACAATAGACAGTACATTACAATTTAAATAATTCTATATTTTTATACCATCCTGGTAAAAAACATGGGCTTTCAGTTTTTCACTTCTAACTCAGTATCATTTCAAAAAATTATGAAACTCTTTACCTGAGAGTGACAAAAATAAAAATATAAAAATTACAGAGTAGAATTTGTCCTTCATAAAAGACAAGTATATTATGTACATTGAAGAAAATTACTCCATAATTTTAGTAATAGACACCCCAAGTAATGGGCTGGTTAAGGGTGAACCCCCAAGGAAGTACATTTGACAAGGCTGCAAATTTATGCAGAATTTGTGAATTTCCCTATAGAACAAAAAGAGAAGGGTCACTGTATCTGTGCTTATACTGAATAAATTTTCTTGACATATTTCATATTGAAACTAGACCCCAGATCACTCAAACTCTTAGCCTAATTTTACTATGATAAATATATCTAGTGGGTCCAATTTAATTTGAAAGGCACTTTGATTTAACAATGCTCCTTTGCATTCACCCACAGATTCATGCACTTATTCATTCAACAAGTATTTTTTTAGGATCTACTTTGTACCAACAAGTGCAATTACATGCTAGCAGAATTGGATATATTATAAAGATAAGAATAAAAGAGTGAGTTTCAGATTATCTTACTTATATAGATGCCTAGCAACCTGTTCACTTAGTAACATGCTTTTATAAATTTGCAAAAGCAAATATTTAAACTACAAATAGCTATGACTGCTATCTTGTTAAGCTCCCAACTTACCTCTGTCAAGTTCTATAGTGGTGAATTGACTGGTTATTTTTAGAATAGAGCTAAAGAAAGTAGATTTAGGGATGCATATGGACTAGGTTAACTGAGACCCATGTATATGATTTACAATACTTCAATTTATAGTTAGGTTATTATAGTGTGGAGGTGTAGGATTTGGCTCCACATTATAAACTCACCACATGCTGAAAAGGAGGTGAGGGTCCAAAGTTGTAATAAATTATGTTTATATCCTGAGGTATCCAGGACTGAAGTTTGTGTATAGGGAAGTAGAATCAAGGTTGGAAATGTAAAGATACAGAACCTTCTCAAAGGAATATTTATTCAAACATAGTTTATATTTAGATTTAACCATTTATAAGTTATTAGCAGTAATTTCTTATATTGAAAGACTTTCATAAACTGTCAATATTATTTTAGATGCCAGTTATTTTAGATGCTAAAGAAAGGTCAGTCTTTCTATTTGCTCTGCAGATATCCTATTGCAGTGGTATTCAAAGATCTACCATGTTAAATAAAGGGGAAAATAGTATAGAGACTGGTCAGGCAATAATGTGTTAAAAACATTCTTTTATTTTACAGATTTTATAATGCTTATAGTATTTATCAGCATTTTAAAATTTGTAATTTGCTTTTGTCTTATATTCTAAATAAATATTAGCTTCCATTCTTGTTTCATTTTATAATTTTCTGTTCTTTTTTATTTCAAAAGACTTTCAATTTACACTCCCAAATATTTACCCACTCTAGTACTGGGAACGCAACATTAGGCAAAGTCAAGTTTCATCCTGTTTGGTGACTAAATTAAGAGGA